ATTAGCAGATACGTTCTACTCTGAAGTCTTACCTCCCAGTCTGCACCTCTGCTCAAAACAATCTGTCAGCATGTGTGTAGAACAAAACAGAATACCCCCAAATATGAAAGTCAGTATTTGAAAGCTCATAGGTACATCATAGAACTAAGCGCCGCCAAGGTGGTAGTTTGGGGATGACATAGGTTTTGAGTTTCCAGTGTCTACCTAGTTGATAGAGGGAGAGTAGAGGGAGAGATCTGGGACATCTCAGAACATTTCCTTGAAAATGTTCTGGCAGTGTTTACTTTAAAATATAATCTGACTTAAGCAAAGTAACTAGACCATGTGATACCATAATGGTGGAAACACACCATTACACTTTCAGCAGAATCCATAGAATATGCACCACAAGTGAGCACTAATGTAAACTATGGACTTTCAGTGTTAACAGTGTCAATGTGGGTTCATCGACTGCAACAAACGCACACTCTAGAAGACGATGCTGATGTAAGAGGCTGTGCTTGTGTGTAGGAAAGGGTGCACATGAAAACACTGTATTCTCCACCCAGATTGCTGTGAACTTAAAATTGTTCTGGAAAATCAAACACATGCGCAGTTATTAACGCAGGGTACACAGTCAACGACAGGAAGAACATGAAAGAAGGTAATGATTTTTATGGTTTTTTATTATTATTATTGTGTGTGTGACATCTCTGAGCAGAGAACACCTGTGCTGCAGTGCACAAGTGAAGGTCAGAGGACAATTTTAGGGAGTTGACTCTCTCCCTTTATACAGGATCTGGGGATTGAACTTTAGTTGTGCAGCAAGTGATCTACCCTCTGAGCCATCTCACCAGCCATGCTTTTCTTTATTAAAAAAAAAGTGGGGACCGCCGGGTGTGGTGGCGCACACTTGTAGTCCCAGCACTTGGGAGGCAGAGGCAGGCGGATCTCTGTGAGTTCAAGGCTAGCCTGGTCTACATAGTGAGTTCCAGGCCAGTTGGGGCTTTAGAGAGACCCTGTTTCCAAAAAGACAAAAAAAAAAAAAAAAAAAAAAAAAAAAAAACCATGGGGACCAATAGATATGAAGGGGCTGAGTAACTAAGTCCTTATTCAGTATGTGGGGGGATGAAAAATAGCAGGGCAGTTAAGTGGAGCTCAGAACTGTGACATTGAGATATCATTGTCCTTCCCAGACAGTTCACAGTGTAGGGATGTTTCCATAGACATCGGGAAAGGTTTGCATTTTAGGTTAAAAAAAAATTGGGGCTATCAAGGGCAGTTTTCACCGTACTTAAGACTTGTTGCTGATGGTTCCCTTCCCGTTGACCTCATTGCATTCAGTTCTCCGCTTGCTTTACCAAACTTGTGATTTAGTGAAGAGGAAAAAAACGTGCGGTTGCAGCCAATGGGCCCTACACAGCTTCACAGAAGTGTGTCTATCCCTGATGATCGTGGTACTTCAGAAGGAAAGCACTCTGGAAATCCGGCGGAATAACATCAGAAGGTGTTCTAGTTTGCTTTCTGATGCTGTGATAAACGCTATGACCAAAAAGCAACTTAAGGAGGAAAGGGCTTATTTGAGGTTATAGGTCACAGTCTATCTGTGAGGAAAGTCAGGGCAGAAACTCAAGCAGGAGCTAGAGACAGGAACTGAAGCAGAGACCATGGAGGAATGCTGTTTCCCAGCTTCTTTCCTCTGTCCTTGCTCAGCTAGCTTTCTTATACAGCCCAGGCCCACTTACCCAAGGATGACACCACAAACAGTGGGCTGGACCCTCCTCTATCAATTAGTAATCAAGAAAACGCCCCCGCAGACATGTCTATACACCAATCTAATGGAGGAAATTCCTCACTTGAGGTTCCCTCTTCCCAGATATCTTTAGTTTGCCTCAACATCACTGGCCACTGTACCCACCCTCTCTTCCATCTCCCTGGCTCTACTCTGAGTTCACCTACAAATTGGGTTGTATCCCATCTCATTATGCCAGGTTTTTTCCCAACACTCCAGAAGCTTATTGGCTCGAGCTCAAGCAAAACCCAGTTATGAAGAACTGTGCTCCCAGCCAGTGGCTGACAGAAATCAGTGGGCACATGGCTACCTTTGGTGTCCTTTGAAGGGGCAGTTCTGAGGCATGCTCCACATAGTTTCTTAGAGAACCCCCAGCTGGGTTCAACTCCATTTCCCCACCATTAACGGTAACATTAACTTCATTTACACACACATTAACTTGCCTCTGGTTGACTTTTCCCTTCTGGGTCTCACTGCCGGACTCGCTCTCATGAGCATCCTGAGAGTATGACCCCAGTACACTAACTGTTCTTAAGTCCTTGTCACAAGACCTTCTTTAGGGAACCCAAAGTAAGACAGCCTCCTCTTTAGTGGTTCATTCACGGCGATTCTCAAGGGTGCCAGGTTGCGGAGGAGAGGTGGCCAACCCCGAGGCAATTTTTTCACCTCTCCTTTTCTTTCTACCTCTCTTTCTTCCTCCTCTCCTCTGATTTGTCTGAAATCACACTGAATGCAAGCAGAGGCATATATCTTTAAAAAAACAAGTTTCTTGAGAAATAATCGATATAAAACTGTGCATGTGTGTAGTGTGTACAATTTGATGAGTTTAGACATCCACACGCATGGAAGAAATTATCACCACAATCAGGATCATCACCACAGACAAACCTACCAAAGTTTTCTTGCTTCCCTTTGTTTCTTTGTTTTTAGCCCAATAATAACATGAGGTCTCTTTTAATAGTGAAACTTGAGATCATTATAATAAGTGAAATAATTCACTCACAACAGGACAGATGTTTCATGATTGCACTTCTAGGAACTGTCTACAATGTTAGTGTGGTGCTAAACATCTGTAATCCCAGTACTCAGAGCATCTCAAGTTCCAGGATAGTAAGACACAATTTTTTTTAAAAAAAAATCTATAATATGAATGGTTACCAAGATCTGGAAGGCTTGAGAAACGTAAAGTTGTTCAATAGATATTAAGTTTCAGTTATGTTGGACAAAAAGATTTTAAATACCTAGCATTCAGATACCTGAATCTATAATATTAGATTCATAACTTTAAAATGTCTAGCTTGCTCATGGGCAAATTCATACGTCTGCTGGAGACCATCGGTTCATGAGACAAATTAAAGATCAATAGTTTTTCAAAGTGAAATGCCAATTTGTGTTCTGTATTGTTCTGTTGTGCAACAGCCAAGGGGGAGGAAGGGAATTGCCCCAGATCTTACACTGTCATCCCCAGAGCTGCAAGCACACTTCTAACCCAGCACAGATTCTTGTTAGTATTCTCAACATCACTTGAAGGCACTTGGCAGATATCTTTACTGGCATCTTTACTATGTTATGCCTAAAATCTCTTAGGCCACTATCATAAAGGAAATCATAACGATCTTATAGAAGTGTCTTGGAGATAACTGACCCTCCCCCAAAAAAACTTTAAAAAAATGAATGGCCAAAGCGGATGTTAGGTGACCATCAGCTTGATCAAGCTTTTATCTGGAAAAGAAGTTAAAGAAGTAATTGTATATTTAAATGTTGTGGTTTTTAGGTTTTTAACCATAAGAATGAATGGACAACTATTTTAAAAATTAAACCAAGTGGCGCACAGAAAGGAAAAAGAGAAAAAAAGGTCTCTGTGAGAAGCAGGACATTTCCTTTCTTTCTCTTTCCTTATAGTGCTACAGGTTGAATGCAGGGCCTCGTACACACTAGGAACTGCTTCACTATGAAGCTCTAGTCCCAGCCTGAAAATTTCTTTACTAATTTCCTTTATTTTCTCGGATTTTTAAAGTGACAATTGAAGATGAAAGAGAAGCTAAAATGATCTGATTAGCTAGTACATTTTATTTTATTTGTTATTTTTATGTTGTATATATGAGTGTAATGCCTGCACGTGTGTATGTGCACCCCGTGTCATGCACTGCCCATGGAGGTCAGAAGAGGGTGTTAGATCCCCTGGAACTGGAGTTACAAACAGTTATTAGTCACCATGTGGGTGCTAGGAACCAAGCCCGGGTCCTCCACAAGAACAACTAGTGCTCTTAACCGCTGAGCCATCTCTCCAGTCCTAACCAGTACATTCTAATATTTTAACTTATTCAAAGGATATTAACAGTTAATAAGAAAATAAGTGTAAGATAAATATCACCCCTTTAACAATAGTTCCTTTCTCTATTCATGAGGTTCTGAAGATAAAGTATTCAGACATGTATTTATGTAAGCTTGAATATCACTTGGTCATTTGTTCTAATTAAATAGTCTCATGCAATCAGCCTGTATCCACCCTAATTAGATACATCTTTAGCCACAAAGAAGATTCTTTCTCATTTTCTGTTTTAATCTTATCAACTATATAGGAATATTTTTTCCAAAGACTGGGTACATGGATGGACAACTTTATAAATTTCTACCTCTAGAAATGCATGAGTCTTAATAACTTGAAAGAAAGACAACTGGTATTCTTGGAATCTTGCAAGGCTGGTTTGATTTTATTATTGCTTATGGTATGGTATGTTATTACCTGTGGACTACACCCAATTCCAGGGACACGTTCATAAAACCCTGAGTTCTGCGGTTGTATATGAGTGCTTTCTTTGGAGGAGTTTTTGTGTAACTGAAACTCTTATGAGAGCACAAAGAGGCTTTCATTGTGTTTAAGAATTCAAGTAATTCACAAAAATACAAGCATGAGGACCAGAGTTCAAGTCCCAATACCCATGTAAAAAGCCAGTAGTAGTGGTGTGCGCTTATGATCCCATTCTGGAGAGGCAGAGACAGGAGGATCTCTGGGAATCACTGACCAGCCAGCCTGCCCTAATCACTGAGCCCCAGACCCCCCAAAACATTACGTAGACACCTCCTAAGGAATAATATCCTAAGCTGACCTTTCCATACACACACACACACACACACACACACACACAGGGGAAAAAATGTAAATATGTTATTTATTAATGTATTGAACTGTTTCTTTTTAGAGTGCCATCAGAGTCCAGAGATACTGATGACAAATCCAATGATGTCTGTGAACCCTTTCTTGACAGAGTCAGGACAGCAGAGGATCCCACTGGTTCCCTCACCATTTAGGCCTCCAGTGGTAGACAGGTATTTCTCTCCAATCTAATCATCCAATCAGAAAAGAAAATGGATCATCATTAAAGTCTGAAATGTCATTAACCCCAATGTTGCTCTATCATCTAATGTTGTCTCTATGAACTGCAGTGCTGTAACTTGTGACACTCTGTTGGCCTTACTTTGAAGACCTCTTCTACTACTTTCCCTTTGAGCCTTGCTTGATCTACTCATTAAGAAATCAGCATGCACTTAGAATGCAACAGGTATTGTCAGGTGCAAAAACTGGTCGATTAGTCAGTCTTCTTAGGCTACCATAATAAAATACAAAAGATAATTTAAATCACAGACATTTATGTCTCCAGTTCCAGAAACTGAAAATCCAAGATCAAGTTGCCTGGTCAGTTTCTAGTGAGTCCTAGTTCCTGACCTGCAGATAGATACCATCTCCTCAATGTGTCCACACATGGCCTTTCCTCTGTGTGCATGTGCAGAGTACTCTCTGGAGTCTTGCTCCTCCTCTTAAAGGACATCAGTCCCATGAGATCAGTGCCCCACCCTAATTCTGCAATGTTTGGGTCCCTTGGATTTCTCGTTATATATTAAAAAAAAATTCTTTCTTTTCAATAGTAGTGAAATTACCAGTATTTTGATTTCACATTCTGGCAATATTCTAGCTTCCCTTCTTTAGAAACTACATTGACATTCTGAGATAAACTAAAACCCACTATTTTCCCTTGTTTGTGGAATGGGAAAATACAATTAGACTCAGGGAGGTGATTATAATTTTGCAACATCAGTAAGTTGGCCACCTAGGTGGCCAAGCATTGACCCTAGATGACAAATGTAAACAAAAAATGTTCAGTAAATAAGAACAGAATGTGTGGTCAGAACATAATGGTTGTTGACTATTCAGAAAGTGGTATTGATTGGGTAGAGCTTTTCCTCCAAATATATTTTCTTCCTTCTCTTTTGATGTTACCTTTCCTTGGTATGATCCCTCCCTAGAACCTTTCTCACCATAACCAGTGAGACTTCAGAATATTTACAATTTAGTTTCAATAATGAAGTCCCATAATATTATTGAAAAATCAACTGCCCAGATGTGCTAGCTATTTTTGTGTTTCTGTGACCATAATATCTTGCGGATAAAACTTAAAGGAGGAAGGATTTATTTTGGCTTACAGTTTCAGGGGGTTCACCCATCACACAGGCATCCTGGGGCAGAACAATTTGCTTAATGCTTGACCAGAAAGCTGAAATACTGGCCTTCTGTTCACTTTTTCCTTTTTCTCCTTTTAATTCATCAGACTCCCCAGGCCATGAGATAGCTCCACCCACATCTAGAGTCTTTCCTTCTCAGGTAATCCTCTGGAAATATTTTCATAGACATGCCAAGAAGTGTACCTCGGTTTTCCAAATGATTCTAAATCCAGTCAAAGTGACAATGAATATTGATCATCACACTAAGCAATGGGAACTTTGTTCGATTCCACTTGTGTTCTACCATTTTATGTCTTTTTTCCTCCCTAGAGACGTCCTGTCTTCCACTATAGCTCCAAGTGATCCAAGCCAGTTTTGTGTTCCTTCCCAGTTTGGATCCTCTATTCTACCAAATGCGAATATGCCAAGCCTGCTGCCCAGTCGTGTCTGCTCAGGTATGCCTAACAGGTGCCTGGCTCTCAGTGGTGAAGCCACGTGAGTTGATGGCTGCATGAAGCATGCTGTTAGTTTGCTGTTCTGCACTGTAGAACTGAGCTGTGCTTAAGCTTCTTAATATGTTCAGATCATGGTGCCGCCACTGTGTGAGCACGTATGGCCTGTTTAACCCTTCCAAGCATCAATTCAATCACGCATAAGTGACAAATTGCAACATTACTGTTTGTCTTATCTTAAATGTGAGGAACTGAGGGAGCTGAAGAGAGTTAATCTGGGAGTTAATGGGTTTGGGATGGTTAACATATGGCTTGGGTTGGAGTGGGTTGTGGATATAGCTCAGTGGTAGATATAGCTCACACTTGCTTAGCATGCAGGAGAATCTGAGTTCCGTCCCCATAACCCCAAGGCCAAACCCAAACAAATCAAACAATATATGGACTGATAAGTCATCAAGAAAATTTGGCTTTTATTCTAAGTAATGAAGTTCTGGAGGGGGCTGAAGAGATGGTTCAGTGGTTAAGAGCGCTAGCTGCTCTTACAGAGGATCCAGAATCCGTTCCCAGCAGCCACATAGTAGCTAATAACTGTCTATAACTCCAGTTCCAAGGGATCGGATGCCCTCTTCTGGCTTCTGTGGGCATTTCCTGATACAGGTATACTTACAAGCACGGAAAATTCATACAAATAAAAACTTTAAAAGAAGTTCTGGAGGTGTCTTATACAATATGGTAGTCATAATTTATAATAATGTTTTTGCATACTTCAAAATTGCTAATAGGTTTCAAATATTGGCACCACAAAAATAATAAATATGTGAGATGGTAGCTATGTTAATTACATTGATTTTAATCATTCTTCCAATGTAAACACATATCAATCATCACATTATATCCCAGAAATATATATAATTAAATGGGACAAGAAAAACAGATCAGAGGCACAGATCATCTTTTTCTTTTTGAAGTATAACAAGAAAATGTCACCAGTCCTAAGACCAACAATCCAAGAAAAGAGTCAAATGTTACTATTGTAGATCCCACAGTATTTATCATGTTTTTACCAAACAGTTCAAGTCTGAGCAGCAGAGATCTGTTACGATGTCTAGCTTTCTGCCCAACTTACGTGTTGCCATTGTTTGTTTGTTACAGATTCTGTTTTGAATCATTTTATTATCTTCAAGTGAATGCTTTTTAATTTGTTTTTGGGATGGGGTGGTGGCTTTCTTTTTTTAAGGCTGGGGCATTTTACCACCTGAATCCACAAAGGCAGTGACCAGAAGAAATGAGATGCTTCAAAGGTATCATACTGCCAGGTAACTAACTGAACAATGTTGCTTGGTTTATTTCCTATCTGTTCACGTGTCCATTTGTTCATTTGCATTTGCTTTAGGTAAATTAAATGAATATATATACAATAAAGATGAATAACTGAATATGATGAACACATGCTTATACACACACACACACACACACACACACACACATTCTAATCCTTTACAGAAAGTACTTCAGGTAGATTACAGAAATAAATATACAAACATGCACACCCATTGTTCCATAATAAAAGCAAGGTTTAAAAAACAAAAACAGACAGAGCCAGTCATGGTGGTACATGCCTTTGATCCCAGGCCTGAGGAGGCAGAGGCGGGCAGATCTTTGTGAGATAGAGGCTAGCCTAGTCCAACTAGTGGCTTCCAGACAGACCCCGTCAAAGGAAAAAAGACAATAGTGTCTACAAAGAGGCTCAGTAGGTAGGAGTGCTGGCTGTGCAAACATGAGGACTTGAGTTCAAATCCTCAGCACCCACATAAAAAGCTGAGTGTGGCCATGCACATCTATAACCAAAGTGATGGGGGAAGAGGACAATGACAGAAGGATTTCTGGGGCTTGCTGGCCAGTGAGACTAAGCAAAACATGATGAGACTTGAGTGCATGCATGCCCATTGCATGTATGTGGAGGTTAGAGGACAACCTGAGAGAGTTGGTTCTCTTGGTCTACCATGTAGGACTGGGGGAATCAAACTGGGGTCTCTAGGCTTGGTAGCAATTCCTTTACATACTGACCCATCTTGGGGCCCTGGAAATAGAATTTTTTTAACAGGCTCTGCCTTCCCTAAGGTAGTACCTTTAACTTTCCTGTCCTCACAGTTTTGAAGTTTGAAGTTTACTTGATGGAAACAGGAATCTCCCCTCAAAGTCAGAAGGAAGGAGGCCTTGGAGGAAGGTCTGAAGGTGGGGGTTTGGATGAATGTCATGATGGAAGTGTTAGGCCAGTTTTCAGACTTAACCTGTGATGCACATGCCAAATTTAGCAAGACCATACAGCAGCGTAGTTTCTTTCTTGCCAGAAATGAAACCTCCCTGAAGTACTGGCAAGGGGCGTTTATTCTCTTCAGCACAAGTTAGTGAGGCTGAAGAAAATCAGTGCCTGTCTCAATGGTTTTAGGACAGTGCATGCGGCTGGGGAGGAGACTTGTTTTTGCTTCTTTCACTTTGCTTATCACCTGGATCCTGAGGGTTCAGTGATAAGAAAAATTGAGTCCGTGCCTTCCCTCTCCCTGAGGTCAAACCCCATCCGTGATTGCTTTTCTTGCTCCTCTTCACTACAGCTAAAGGCCATTGTTGGTTGGTGTGAGGTTTCCTAGGCTCTGCTGACATATTCTGAAATGATGTTGGTAAATTTCATAGCTGTCTTCAAGCAGAACTGAAATCATTTAAGACAGAAATGCCTGGCATGAATTTCAGAAGAGTCACAGCTAGGAATTTTCATTATGGGATGATATAAACTATTACAAGATGCAGATTTATACCACACACACACACACTAAAAAAATAAAAATAAATAAATAAATGCAAAAAAAATTGTATTCCTAAAGATTGCATTGGGTTGTATAAAATATAGTATTTTGTTTTTAGGGCAGAAATGGAAATGTATGCTATTTACCAGCAAAGGAGAATGGAAAGAGTTAATCCCAAGGGTCATGCTGGTCTCGGACTCCCACTCCTTTACAGGTCCAGTGGACTGGGTATCCCAGCAGGGTACCATAGCAGGAACATGCTGCCAGCCAGTGACCTGCATTTGCGCAGAAGCACCCTCAGACACCTTCAGAGAAACCCCATTCTAGTGGCATCTGATCCACACTTTACAGAGTGCTGGGGCCAGAAATACCAACTCCGGAGAGGTCCAGGGAATCAGAACCCTCTAGACAATGAGAGTGAGGACTTCAAAAGTCAAACAGAAGGAAAAATCTCAGGCCACATGCCCGCAAGTCCCAATGATGAGGATGAGTATGCCAACGACCCGGAAATTGAAGTATGCAGCAACCAGAAGTCAGGGGAAACTGAGGAAAAGCCAATCACAGCTCTCACCAACCCCAGTGAAGAGCTCCAGCCCACCCAGAGAAAACCTTCTTCCCTGGTGGCAAAGGCCTGGCGTGGTGACAAGGAAAAGTCCTCAGAACAGGAGTGTGAAGCCTGTGATGAAAAGAATGGGGTTTGCTCACCAGTTTCCATAGCGTCTTTGCCAGGTGGGTATCCAGGGGTCAAGGGCAGTTCCTGAGTAGCCACGGGGCAATCAGTCCCTTACCATATTATGTAGGAAACTGTGACCACCATGCTGCTCCTTGGCCTCCTTCTCCTATTCTCTCTCTCTATTCTCTCTCACTCTCATATATATATATATAATCCTGATTTTCTTAATCCTGTTTAAAATGGCCTTTTCTTGAAGTCACTTTATTATATCAGTTATAATAAGCCATATTAGAGACACTAGTCTCTTGATATTCCTATATAGAAATCATTCAACATAGACTGAGTTAATTATGATAAAGTATAAAGAAACCGATCCAAATTTTAATTATGTTTTTACTTAACTTGCTAATAATTTCTTTAACACAAAATAAAAGGCTTTAAAATATGAATTCCATCTCTCCTACATCTAAGTACAGAAAATCAGACAAACAAAAAAGCACACACTTATAGTGCCCATGATTGTTATGATAATGTCTAATCTAATTAAAAAGAAAAACCACATATTGAATAGTTCCCCAAGATTTCTTTAGAAAAAAAGTATTTTAAAAACACAGAGATTTGGAGGTACCTGATCTAGCTATCATACCAACTGTTTTCCTTTAAAGTGCCTGACATTTTGATGAAGACGTAGCTAAATTCTTAGCTCACCTACAGAGTCTGATAGTCACAGAAGCCCACCTAACAAGATATTGTAGTATTAATCTGGAGAATGAAGTCCACAGGGCATTTCTGTCAGAGCCTCAAGATTGTAGGGCAACTCTGTAATGTCTCTATTTGTTACGGTGAATATTAATGCTGTTACTAAAGATCTTTTCAGAGGAAGGAAAGAAATCATCTTCCAATGAGGCTGAATCCCTTTTAGGTGTTCACAAATTGGTCTATATAAATGGACCACCTTGTGGTGATAGGACATTAATGAATTCAAATAACTAAACATAAACCTTTATTCTAAACTACCCTTTTTGGATGGAAATTTTATACCACGTAATAATTTCCTTTCCATTTAAAGGAGCACATGCACTGCCTGCAATTGGGGAAAGCCATTCTTTGGCTGAAGATATTCAGAAATGGACCATAGAAGATGTGCATAACTTCATCAAAAGCCTTCCAGGTTGTTCAGATTATGCCCAGGTAGCTTCATAGTTTTGTAAAGTTAAGACAATTTGAAATGTATTTTCTACATGAATTTGGTCAAACACATTTTGCCCCTGGAAAGCATTCCTACTAACCTAACCCTGGAAAGGGTTCCTCCATAACCTTGTTATGCTTCTGTCTGCCATGGGACAGCTGTCTCTGATTTGTGGACATCAGTGTCAGGGAAGACAAGGGAAGCCACTATCTAGCTTAGTTTCTGTCCCATCAAGACTCTGGAGAAGTGGAAACTCTCAAAATTTGGAGAAGGCTCAGAGCAAAATATTTTTTTAAAAAGAATGAGAGGGGCTGGAGAGATGGCTCAGAAGTTAAGAGCACTGGCTGCTCTTGCAGAAGAGCCAGATTTGAAACACAGCACCCTCATGGTGGCTAACAGCCATCTGTAACTCCAGTCCAGGGGATCCAACTCCCTCTTCTGACCTCCACAGGCACTGTATGACACAGGTATACTTACACACATGCAGGCATAACACTCATACACATATAAAAATAAATCAATCAAAAAAATTTTTTAAAGAATGAGAGATGTTTTCTACATTCCTTACTGAAGGATGCAGCAAGCAACTTTTGGACTGTTTCTGTATCAGGAATTTTAGGCCCCTTATCCTAAATAATAGAAGCATATAAAACAGGACAAAGAGGGGTGAGGCGATAGCTCACTCAGTAAAGTGACTGCCTTGCAAACATGAGGACCTGAGATCGATCCTCAGAACAACTGCAAAAAAAAAAAAAAGCTGGAACATGGCCTCACCCATACACCAGGGGAGGGCGGTGGGGGGAGGGGGCTGGTGATGCCTGCTTGTAAATCCAGTACTGGGGAAGTGGAAACTGGGCATGGTAGATCTCTGGGGCTTGCTGGCTAGCTAACCTTGCCTACTGGCAAGTTCCAGAGGAATGAGAGACGACCTCCCCCGCCAAAAAAAGGTGATGGCACCTTTTTTTTTAGTTACAAAACCTAATCAGCACAAGTGACCCCTTGCCAACTTGACATACAAGCACACCACTGTGCAACCATAACTTCTCATTTCTTCTTTATCCCCAAGATCTTATGTTAATATTATAATATAAAATGCAGTTCAACCTTAAAAGTCCCAAAGTCTTTAAAAATTGCAGTGCTTGAAAGTCCAAGTTCTCTTTTAAAAAACGAAGTCTCTTAACTGTGGGCTTTTGTAAAATCAGAAACAGGCTAAATACTTTCTTATTTCAAAAGGGAAGAGCTGGGTACATTTAAGCAAAACCAATGTCCAGCAGTGTAGCTCAATGTCTGACACTTGGGATTCACTCACAATATTGTGGGCTCCACAAGGCTTGGGAAATCCCACTTCTGCTCTGCCATCCACAGCTGACACAGCTTGTCTGGTGGGCTTGGACTGGCTCTACTTCACACCAGCTGCTGTCACTGGAGGTCCTGGTATCTCTGATATCCTTGGGATATCCACTGCTAGTGAGGCTTCACTTTCACCAATGGCCTGTCCTGGCCTCACATGGTGCCAAGCTTCAGCTTCTCTCTATGACCCCTTTAGTTCTGTAATTTTCATGCCCCCCAAACAAGTACCGTGCAGGAGACTCATACATTATTAGCCAAAGTCTGCTTCCAGCTTGATGTGCCACCTTCACCCCTCTGGACCACAGCTTCTATATGCCGCCACTGAGGAAATACTTCCCATAAGATTTCACCTCAATGATGCTGGTCTCTTGTTAACCACAGCTGACTTTTCAGCCCGAGCAGAGCAAGTATCCACTGTCCTAGTAAAACATAAAAGGTTTCACTTCCATTGATCCTTAATTCAAAAATCACACACTGGCCCTCATAGAGTCTTTGAGGGACTCTTAAACTTCTCTCTAAAACTCACAAGCCAAGCCTCCGTCATCTACATTTCTCTAAACATTCTTATCTTCCAAGTCCCCACAATAGTTCATTAAGCTCTGAGCACTCAACAGCTTTTCTAGCCCAAAGTTCCAAACATCTCCACAGTCCTCCTAAGAAACAACCTGGTCAGGTCCATTACGGTAAGATCCCACTCCTGGTACCAATTTCTGTTTTGGTTAGCTTTTTATTGCTGTGATAAAATACTCTTACCAAAAATAACTTAGGGAGGAATGGGTATATTTCATTTTATACTTCCAAGTCACAGTCCATCTTGGAGGGTAGTCAGGCAGGAATTCAAGGCAGGAACCTGGAGGCAGGAGCTAAAGCAGAGACCATGGAGGAACACCGCTCACTGGCTTGCTCCTCCTGGCTTGCTCAGCTACCTTTCTTATACAACCCAGGCCCACATGCCCAGAGTTGGCATGCATCAATTACCAATTAAGAAAATGTCTCACAGACATGGTCACAGTCTAATCCAATGGAGGAAATTCCTCAACTGAGGTTCCCTCTTCCCTGGTGTCTCTAGATTGTGTCAAGTTGATAACTGACCATCACAGCACCTGAAGAATGATAATCAAGATTGACCTCAGGCCTATACCACACACACACACACACAAACACACACACACACACACACACACACACACACACACAGGAACATACATAAGGACAAGGAGCAAAGAGAGATGATGCATATCTGTAATCTTAATGCTTTAGAGAAAAAAGCAGGAAGATTATGAGTTTGAGGCCAGCCTGGGCTACATAGTAAGATCCTACTTCAAAAACAAACAATAACAACAAAAACACATTGCTCTTACAATGATATTACCTGTGTTTCATTATTTATAATCTTAAATGTATCTTTGTGGATAGACAGAAGTCACATATGCATCAACACCCCAATCTAGTTTTTCTTTTACCAGCAAGAAATCAGTAACCCAAATAAATAGTATCAATTATTTCTAGGTGTTTTTCAAATTTATTTAAGATGAGCACATTTTAAAGTCTTCTCCCTCTGAGTTACTGCAGGTGACACCAACTGCAGGACCCAGCTGTTCTGCTGAGCATGCCCATTGCTATGCTCTGAGAAATCACCATAGAGATGAAGAGAAACCTTCTGATGTAACCAGTGCATTCTGGGTACAACAGCCCAGAAGGACTGAGCACATACAACCCTCCTGAGGACCCTTGTCAAAAATAACTCATCAACTTTTTCTCATAATTCCATACTTTTAAGGTTGAACCCTGGGGCTAGTTGGAGGCACACACGTAGTCCTTCCCTCTGTCCTCTTCCTCCTTACCTCTGCCTTAGGTACCTACTCCGCAAAGCTCTGTGCAAATGAAGACTTCTAAATAGATGTAGTGTCAGATGAGGTGGCACATGCCTAGAATCCCCACATGGGAGGCTGAGACAGAAGCATCCTGAGTTCAAGGCCAGTCTCAGCTACATAGTAAGACCCTGTCTCAAAACTTGAAAAAATAAAGCCACGTGATAAGTAGCTAATTCTTTAAAATATAGCATTTTGTAAATGCTATGCCATCTCATGCTTTAACTTCGTGAGGTTTGCTGTTGAGCTCTTTAAGAGAGAAACTTTATCAAAAAATAAAAATAATGGGGCTGAAGAAATAGCTTAGCAGTTAAGAATGCTTGCTGTTCTTCCAGAGGACCTTTGTTCTATTCCCAGCACCCACATGACAGCCAACAACCATTTGTAACTCCAGTTCCAGGGGATCCAACACCATCTTCTGGCCTCTGTGGGCATTGCACACACATTATGTAGGTATACATTTGCAGGCAAAGCACTTATACACATAAAATAAAAATAAATATAGATAAAGTTAGAGTGTTGGTGGCTTAGCTGTTGTATTAGTTTGCTTTCTTTCACTGTGGTGAAACACTCTGACCAAAGGCAACTTGGGGAAGAAAGGGTTTATTTCAGCTTACACTTGCAGCCAATAGTTCATCACGGAGGGAAGTCACAACAGGAACTGAAACAGAAGCCATAGAGGAAAGTATTTAGTTTCTCTTTCTCCTCTCTCTCTCTCTCTCTCTCTCTCTCTCTCTCTCTCTCTCTCTGGATCAGGCTCAGCTACCTTTCTTATATAGTCCAGGCCCATATGCCTAGGGATGGTGCCACTCACAGTGAGCTGGGCCCTCCTACATCAATCCTCAGTCAAGACCAGCTCTCACAGACATGGCCATAGGCCAGTCTGATCTGGAAAATTCTTCAGTCGAGGTTCCCTCTTCCCAGGTGACTCTAAGTTGTGCCAAGCTGACAACAGACACTAACCAGCGCAGCTATTTAGGGACAGTCAGGAAGCACTAACACTGTTTGTTTGTTCTAGTAAATGTTTAGTTCAATGAACTTGGCAGATAAAATATTCATCTCTGAAAATAACTGCAACTGCTGAAAATATGTGTGCATTTGTATCATAGACCTGGCACAATGAACCCTGGTAAGAGAGAAAGGGGTGAATCTGAGCAGCAGGGACGTATTCCATGTTTTGCCTTGGGCTTGGCATGCACAAAGCTCCACTTCACTCCCCAGTACCATGCGAACCCTGGCATGGTGGGACATGCTTATGAGTCCAGCACTTAGGAGGTAGATGTAGGAGGATCAGAAGATCAGGGCCATCCTTGACTACATGGTCAATTTGAGGCCAGCCTGGGATACATGAGACTGTCTCAAAAAAAAAAAAAAAAAAAAACCACAGCGACCAGGGGCTGAAGAGATAGATGGCTTAGCAGTTAAGAGCACTGGCTGCTCTTGTAGAGGACCTGGGTTCGGTTCCCAGCACACGTATGGTAACCAACAACCATCTGTAACTCCAGTTCCAGGGGAATCTGATGCCCTCTTCTGACTGCCACAGGCATTGCACAACATGGGTGCACTTACACATATGCAGGCAATATACCCATACACATAAAATAAAAATAATAAATAAAATACTCTTTTAAAAACAATCAAAACAAAAAGGATAGGCATTTAGGGGCCTTTCAGTACCCAGGATGGTCATATTCACAAAGACCCAGTCAACACTGCCAAATGTGGCCAGGAATTTAACAAACACAGGAAACTAGAGCTGTAAAATGCCCTTAGGTTTGACATAAAGGAATGATGGGAACTGACTCCAGACCCCTCAAGACTGAAGAATGAGTTAAGAAGTGGTAACATGCACAGGAACATCCAACTCCGCTAGAGAAATTTGACCATGGAGAGGAGTCAGGGACAGTGTTTAACTGTGGAGGGGAGACAGAGGGGGCAGAACCTGTGCCGATGAGTATGTGAGTTACCATTCTTGTTAGCGTTTAGCCATGGTGGTGACTTACTTAATGCTAATGGGACAGATCCAGCAGAAGAGGTTAGAGATCAAAAAGGGGATTTCTGATCGTGAAACCCCCACAGTTGGGGACGTGAAGAGCCACCACAGAGTTTGATACTTTTTCCACTTATCAGAGCAGTGAGAGGAAATAGGTTTCAGGCTCATTGTTCAAATTTACAAGGAATTCTTTCTACCTCTTTTTTTCTTTTCTTTCTAAATTATTAAGCTGTCTGAAAATGATGAAGGAGTCTGTTGAGTCTAAAATCTGTGGAGGATAGGGAAGGTTTAAAAGAAAAAGCTCAGGAGTGAGCATGGAACGCTTGCCAAGCTGGATGGAGTTGGAGATCACGAAGTTGTCCTACCAAGCACCCTGGTTTACGTACCCATTTCTTTATCTGCCTGGAAACTTTGTCCACCTGCAGTCTTTCCTGGCTTCCAGAAGAAAGGCATTGTGGCATTCATTAGAGTCAGAGCAGACCCTACTGCAGAGACCCAGTGGACAGCTCTCACCCACACTTTCCTCTTTTTACCGTCATCTGACTCAGCAGACAAAAGGCACTGCATCTGTTGATGTGAGATGATGTTTGTGAAGACTTCACCATCCTTTTCCTCAAAGTGTTTGACCATTCACTGATTTATCCAGTGAATATATACACCACACTGCATCAGGGCTACACTGTCAAATGAGACATCGATGCACCCTCAAATAATTACTCCAAGTTAGATGTGAGTCCTATAATTCTCAAAGCAAAGCACTCCGTATATATGGGGGGGGGGGTCTCCCTATTGCCCCAGAAGGCCTAGAACTTGTTATATAGACCAGCCTGGCCCAAGTATTGTTAAAGAGAACATGACCCTGAAGCACATACAAACCAACAACTAAAAAGATTTAGTTAGATAGTTGTGTCACCTTCAAGTTGTCTTAATGTTTCCTCCAATACCAAACAATTTGCATATAAAACATTACTGAGAAAAAAGACACATGGACCAGACCAATGGTTTTTGTGTTTCTTCAGGTATTTAAAGACCATGCAATTGATGGAGAAACACTGCCCCTGCTCACAGAGGAGCACCTTCGAGGCACCATGGGTCTGAAGCTGGGGCCAGCACTAAAAATTCAGTCACAGGTATGGTGACTTCATGTAATGCAGTATGTATTAAAGGTGCGAAGCTAAAGAAGTAGGTTACATCTATGCCGAAGTAATGTATATGTGTGTGTGTGTGTGTGTGTGTGTACGTACATATATATAATACTTATTTCAACTCTTTTTTGAGTTTCATCCTTCCCTCTGTGACTAAGGATGTGGTAGAAGTAAGGGAACATGAGACAATGGATGAGGGTGCTACACATTTCTAGGTATGAGGAGAAGGCAGTAAACAGACGTGTACTGGTAAATGTTTAGTGTTGGGGTCCCCTGGTGTCAGACTGCTATCCTAAACAGCAGGGGACCCCATAGTTTAGCACTTTTGTCTCTTTTATAACGAACCCTGATTTGTGTCATTTCTTTGTCATCAATGACTCCCACTGTAACTAACGAATTTTTAAAGTCACTGAACATAGAATTGGGAAGCAGCAGCCCCTCATTTTAGAATACTTCACCAGCTCTAACAGTCTGATTGTATCTCAGATGTAAATATCCCTAAGAACATGGATAGCAATAAATAATAATTAAGTTAAAAGCAAAAGGCAGTGAGCTTTAAGGGTTTATTACTTCCATTTGCAGTAAAATTTATTTAATTTAGGTTTAAGTTTTGATGACATTAACAGCTAGCTTTCAAATTTCCTAAAAATTATAACTGACTCAAGTGCTGGAGTAAGCGGGTTCCAGCAGCATGGTTTCCCATTGGACAACTTCATTACCGGATCACGGCCTCTGGCTTCACTCTTTCTGTACTGTACTTGCCTTTCCTGAGTTTACTCACATAGCAGTAAAAGGTGATTCTTCTGATACCTAGGACAGGTCAGATCACTGTCCTGCTCCAAAGCCTGCGGTAGCTCCCAGTTCCTTCAGCGTTAGCCAAAGTCACAGTGTTTGTGTTCCTCCCCAGCACTTCACCTTCCTGCCTCATCTTCCCCTGCCCACAGCACCCCTGCTTTGCTGCCTTGGAGGCTCTTTGAATGCTGTAGACACGCTCTCTGAGAGCCATTCCCACTGACTGACTCCCTGCCCAGAACATCCCTGCCTGATGTCAGCATTCTTTCTCCCTCATCTTCTCCCTCTTTCTTTGTTGGTGTTTTGTTTTCTTTTTATTTTGTTGTTGTTGTTGTTGTTGTTGTTGTTGTTGTTTGCTTCATTTTAAACAGAGTCTCATTCTGTCACCCAGGCTGGCCTGAAACTCACAGCAAACCTTTTGCCCAAGTGCTGGCCCTCACTGTCTTTCTTGCTTAATTATACCTCTCACTGAAGCTTGTTCTGATCACTCTGTTTAATGCTGGAGGCTGGAGAGATGGCTCAGTCGTAAGAGCACACTGCTCTTGCAGGGGACCCAGGTTCAATTCCGAGAACCCACATGGTGGCTAACAACCATTTGTAACTCCAGCTCCAGGGGATCCGACATCTTCTTCTGATCTCCGTGGGCATTGCATGACAAGGGTGCACTTACATAAATGTAGGCAATACACTCATACACATAAAATAAAAATAATAAATATTTTTTAAAACTGTAGACTTCCCAGCTCCCATGAATACTACTGATATCTTTTCCTGCTTTACTTCCCCTCATACCACCCATTATGTATATTTTTATCAGTGATTTCCCTCTGCCCCCATTAGAATGAAAGCCTCATGAGAGAAGAGATCTTTGTCTTGTAAGACTAGATCATAGAAGGCCCCACAATGGGTCAACAATTTTTTTTTAGCATGAGCTGTCTCAGAAACCAAAAAATCAGCAACTAATTTGTCTCAGAATTTGTATAGGATGATACAAATATTTTTATTTTCTGGAAATATTTATTCCAGGAGCTAAAGCTTCAGAATGCACTTTTAGGGCTGGGGAGACAGCCCTGTTGGTAAAGTTCCTGCCACACAAGCATTAGGACTTGAACTAGATCCTCCAAGTACCCATGTAAAAAAAAGTTAGGCATTGAGACTGGAGAGATGGCTCAGTGATTAGGAGCAGTGTCTGCTCTTGCAGAAGACCTGGGTTCAATTCTCAGCACCCATGTGGCAGCTAACAACCATCTGTAACTCCAGTTTCAGCAGATCCAACACCCTTTTCTGACCTCCAGGGACATTGCACAACACAGATGCACTTACATACATACAGGCAAAATACTCATACACATAAAATAAAGATAAATAAATAAAAAAAGATTAGCCTGGGTGTGGTGACATGCTACTGTAATCCTAGCACAGGGAAGTCAGGGACATTAGGATTCCTGCAACTCACTGGACAGCTAGTTTTGCCAAATCAGTGAGCTCCAGGCTCAGTGAAAGATTTTTGACTCAAAAAATAAGGCACAGTGCTGGGCATGGTGGCGTATGCCTTTAATGCCAGTTCTTGGGAGGCAGAGGCAAGAGGACCTCTGTGAGCTCATGGCCAACCTGGTCTACATAGTGAGTTCCAGGCCAGCTTGGGCTACAAGGAGATACAGTCTCAAACAAACAAAAAAAAATAGTGCAAAAACCATACTCATATATGATAGTCATAAAAAAGAAAAAGAAATGAATGAAAAAATAAGGCACAGAGCAATAGAGGAAGATGTCTAACATGGTCCTCTGGTCCCCACACATACACACACACAGAAAAATATACATACAATACAACCACACACTTATAAATTTAAAAAAAGAATTTCCTTTCACTATCATTTTTACTTGTCTAAAAATTTTAGGGTAAAGAAACTCTTTAATAGAGCGTGGTAGCAGCTGCCTGTAATCCCAGTTCTCAGGAGATGAAGCAAAAAAACAGCAAGTTCAAGGCCAGCCTGGGCTACATAGCAGGAAGGTGTCTCAAAATAAAAAGAAAGAGATGAAAGGGATGAAAGAAGGAAGGAAGGAAGGAAGGAAGGAAGGAAGGAAGGAAGGAGGGAGGGAGGAGGAAGGAAGGGAGGAGGAAGGAAAGGAAGGAAGGGGGAAGGAAGGAAGGAAGGAAATGAGAGTTAAGAGAAGTAGTGAAGGAAGGAAGGAAGGAAGGAAGGAAGGAAGGAAGGAAGGAAGGAAGGAAGGAAGGAAGGAAGGAAGGAAGGAAGGAAGGAAGGAAGGAAGGAAGGAAGGAAGGAAGGAAGGAAGGAAGGAAGGAAGGAAGGAAGGAAGGAAGGAAGGAAGGAAGGAAGGAGGGAGGGAGGAGGAAAGAAGGGAGGAGGATGGAAGGAGAAAGGAAGGAGGAAGGAAGGAAGGAGGGAGAGATAGTGGGGATGCTATGTTTCTTGGCATACTTACAAGGACAGTTCATGGATTTTTTTCCCTCAATTTCTATTTTCTTGGACTTTGATTTATCACTCACCTTGGGGGTTCCCATCTGACAGCCTGTCCTCTAAGAAAGCTGGCAGAGTTGCTAGATACCATGTGCCAAGTGTCAGCAAGACAGGACAGGGCTCCCATAGAAGTTAGGAAAGGCCCAGCTGATGACAATTGTCAATCCTTGGTACTGGGATATGAAGTAGCAGAATTGCAAGGCTCAGATTAACCCTTGGAAGTTCAGAAGGTGAAAAGTAAAGAGTTCATCATGAAATAAGATAGCAAGCTTTCAACCTCTAAAATGGAAATTAAGGGCCCTCCCCATGATAGTGAACATAGCCAAGAAGAAAAAAACACGCCATCCCAGGACAGAAAACTGGGCATAC